GATAGCCCTAGCATTCTTAGTCATTTATTAAATGCCTATAGCATGCCTTGTATATATAGTTTGAATCTAAAAGTGTATCTTTCTTCAAATTGCTTATATTCTAAAAGGAAGGAGAAGTGACATGGCAGATTAAAGATTGAGAAGAATAATTGAAATAGTGCAAGATTCCATTTGAACTATCATGGCTAATAGTAGAGCTAACAGGTAAACTTGAGCCTACAAAATTTTGCAGTTTTAACAAAGGCAGGATAATAATACATGTAAATAGGTATAAATACTTTCTACATATTTCTTGTAGGATGATGTGGGTCAAAGGTTAGCAAAATCCTTTCCCCATCTGCATGAGAATCTGACTTTCAATTAGCTTTCTAGCTCTATGTCACTGGAAGACATATGATGGTGTCTTAGGTTGTTTTTCCCAGGTAACAGATTCTGAAGTTCGATGCAGGAAGTTTGTTGGGGAGTTCTTTTGGGATCAGTACCCACAGGGGAGAGAGAAAAAAGAATCTGGAGGAGCTGAACTGCAGTATAGTTACAGCAAAGGCCTCATCTAAATCTGTGGTGATCTCTGGATCTGGGATGGCTCTTCAGAGATGTCCTGCCTTGAGGCAAGAGATAAGGTCTTTATAGATCCACATCATCTTAACCAGTCATTGGATGTATGTTGCCTGAGAAGTGGGATTATAACTTTAGGCAAGATAGATTTTTTTTTTTTTTTTGCCTGTGAGCCATTCCTGGAGAGTTAAAGCTATCAAGTGCCAAAAATGGCACAGCTCAGGAAATGAGTACCATATAACTAAAAGAGGTTCTGGGAAGCATCCCATAGTATTCACTCTAGGTGGATGGTTGCTAGGCAACATTGCCTATGGTAAACTGCTTCTGGATTAGAAGGAGATAATAAACTATAAATACCATAGCTTCGATCTTCCCCATGGTAGTAATTCTTGTAATTGGGCATGTCCCTTACAGGCAGGAACCCTGGAAGCCATGCTTATGAAGTTCTTGCAAGTATTGGGTATAAGACTTTTAAGTCAGTATAACTCGTGCATCTGCCCAAGGCGAATCTGATTCCCTCACTCCTGAGCTAGCACCCTCTGGCCAAAGAGAGTAACTCCTGGAAGGCTATATGGTCTGCTACAGGAACTGCTGCAAGGCTCCCACTGAAAAGGAATATCTGGTGCTGCCCTGATGGCAAACTGTCATTACTACTTATCTCTTTGGGCCAATGGATGTCGTGTGGCCTAAATAGTCTTGTGTAATTGTTGAGTCATGCTTATAGCTGACCCCTATGGGGGTACTGTAGACATTTTTTTTTCAATTGGGTCTCACTTTTTAGAATATTTGGTTTCAAAATCTAAAACAAAAGAATAATTTGATGACCTTCAAGTCAGACTGAAGATATTTAAGTAGTCGGGACACATGGATACTTGAGGTTTCTTTTTTCCTACATGACAAGTCACTGTTAACACATATTGTCTCCACAAAGCATGGACAAAACGACTCAGATACAATACTAATCTCTAAAAACAGAAGTCTTTATATGTGATTAGTAGAAAGAACTGTCGGTTCTTAGCTCTCCTTTAGTCATAGATGGGTCATTTGGGCCTGGTTGGCAGTTTCACATATCCTATGAGTCACAAAGTTTTGCTAATTCTTCCCTTGTAATGACTCATTCTCTCCGTGCCTTTCCATTTATTCTGCTATCACCCTGAGTAGTATTTATAGTCTTTATCACTTCATATATGGATTACTGAACATGCTACCTCTGCCTTTTGGTTTTGTCTTATCTGAGCTGCATCAGATAAGAGATCCCAGATTAAATTCCATGATAGAGTTTCCTCTTGACTTTCAGACTATTAATGTGTAAACCAGACTTTCCTAGAGCCTAAATAAGCTCCCTGGAAATAGTGAGAAAGAAGGCTGAAAAGATGTTAGCTAAGAAGTGCCACTTATTTTATAGGCAATGGGAACCCTTTCAGTAAATGACCTTTCAGGCAGGAGAGTGGTCAGTCAGAGCTGGTCTTCAGGAAGATTGATCTGGCAACAGAGTAAAGACTAGAAGAAGTGAGACTAGTTAAGAATCTATTATACAAGAACCCAACTTGAGGTGGGAATGGGAAGGATGGGACAGATAGGATCTCAACAGTATAAAGAAAGAATTGGCGACTGTGAGAAGAAAGCGAGGAGGACCTCACTGAGTTCAGATCATATGGATTTATAATGGGCATGTTAGATTTGGTGTCAAGACAGTCTGTCAGAAATAAATACACACTACTGCTCCTTATATCTTTATGCAAACACATTAAAAGACCAGGATCGTGGCTTACTTCTTATCATCCTTACACCTCCACTTCCAGCACAGAGCCTAATGGGAACAGTAATCTAATCTCCTATATTTTTTTATTCTCTCCGTATATAGAAGAATGTTTAGGACCATAACATGTATTTAAGATTGTTCTGCCGACTATCAGCAGGTAGAAACTGATATCTGTCTTTCTGTTTTGTTTTTACATTTCCTTCATTGTGAGATAAAACTAGGGTGACCAGGTGTCTGAGTTTTCTCTGCATAGTCCCATGTAGACCTGTTCTCCCACTACAACTGCCACAATAATACTCTTCTTTACTCTCAAAGGTTTGTACAGTAAATTCTATGGTCACTCTAGGCATGTATACAGAAAAGCACTAAATATGTATGTCAGTTTAACTATAACTATAAAGAACACACTGTGTAACCACCACCCTAGTTAAGAAATGAAACACTGCCAGCCACTAGAACTGTATTTCCCAATTACAACTCGGTCTCTCTTCTTTAGAGTTAACCACTATCATGATTTTTATGATAACCATTTTCCTACTTTTTAAACTAATAAAACTAATGAAAGCTAAATTATTAAAGCCAAAAATGCCATTTATTGATTTCCTTCCACTTATTATATTTATTTTGTATACTTTAAGTGTGGGTAATTTCATATTTATGTTACTAATAGTTATCTTTGAAAATATATTTGTATTTTAGTATATGACTACAAGGTTGTAAGTAGTCATCCTGAAGATAAATGTTGCATTTTCATTATTTATTTGTTATTCTAAGATTTCATGAACAAGACACAGCTCTTGGCCTCAAGAATTTGATAATCTAACAAGCAATCGCCATAGAAATCATGTAGTGCAATAATGTTGTGCAGGCACAAGACATTGTTGTAGGACATTACCTAGCCTTGGCGATGATCAGGAAGACTTTCCATATAAGGTGATGTCTCATTTGAGTTTTGAAGATAAGTAGGAATTATGCAGGTGAAGGTGGTGGGTGAAGTGAAAGCACAGCACACAGGGGTCACTTTCCAAACAAAAGAAATAGACAAAAAAAGCATGACACAATTAGGTTAAAGCAAGATGTTCCCTGCAGTTGGAACACAGAGAGCATTCTCCGTGATCTCTCATGATGGGGAGAGGGTGTTTTTTGGCTCATCGTATTTTTCAGGGCCGTGGTGACAGATACAGTTTGAGACAGAAGGTAGATCATGAATGGACTCGATGTCTTACTGAGTTCGAACTTGATCCTGAGGTCAGTGAAGAAGCTTTGAAGGGCTCTAAGCAGGAAGTGAGTGATGTGGAAACATGATCATGTTTGGATTTTTGACAGGTTGTTCTCACTACAGAATTAGAGAGAAAGTATATAAACGGGCAATTCTAGAAGCAGGGAAAATGGGCTGGAGACTCTTGCCATCATCCACGTGTTAAATGATGGCGGCATGAGCTAAGCTAGAGCAAATGAGAGTGGTGAGAAGTGGCTGGATTTAAGAGATAGTTGGGGACAGAATTAACAGCACTTTAATGATTGATTATAGGTGGAGTTTGAGGGAGAGAGAAATAAGAGATGATGTTCAGATTTCAGTTGGAGATGAGGGGTAAAAACAATGACATGGGTTTGTAGAGGAATTTTTAGCAGAGCTTTGAATTAGTTGAGTTTGAACTAGCTGTGGGACATACAAAAGGAAATGACCTTGTGTCTAGAGCTCTGGAAATTTAAGGGGAGACAGACATTAGGGAACACGAGCTTCTTTGTGGCAAATGAATCCATTCATATGGACCTTAATATGATAGTATAAAATTTCTGAGATGGAAATTTCATTGTATAATATCATGACATTCTTAGGGAATTTAGTCTTTTGGTGTTAAAGCTTCCAAGAAATATTCATACAAAACATTTTCATGATCTGTTTTAATTTTTAGCAGTTTGTTTTTTAATTGGTATTATTTAGCTCTTTGGGGGTTTTTATTTATTTTTCACATTATCCAGGTTTTATTACAATATGTGCCAGCTATAGAAATAAACACAACAAAATGAAGTTATTATAGCACTTTCGAAATTAAAGCAAAATGCGTACATTTATTAAGGTTTAGGAATTTAGGAGAAATGTAAAAGACCCTGAGTTTATGTCTCATAATAAGATTTGTATAGAAAATTCTTTTAGAAAAAAAGATATATTTTTAAATAATATAAATGGAAAATACTTGTTGCTAATTTTCTGCTTATTTTCAGGATACAGAGATAGTTAAAATTTTATAAATCAAATAATTTAGGTATATGTATAATATAAATATTTTCAGATACACATAAAGAAATCATCTGAATTTTTTAGCATTATACTATATCATAAGAACACTATAATTTTCTGCTATACAATTCTGATGTACTTAGATATATTTTAATATCTCAGCTATACACAGAATGCAATTTTTCCTCAAAAATGTGCTTATTTTAAATATTTTGTTTCAGATTATAGTAGCAGTTAAATTAGCAGTAATTTTCTAATAATTTAATACTAATTTATTCTCTAATTTGAATTTTCAATATAGTTCTTTTGTATTGTTATTTTGAATAAGCTATAACTACCTTATTTTTTATGCTACATAAGCATAAAAATTTAATTTTTGATTACTATGATAGTAATTAGATACAGTATGTAATACATAATATTTGTTTTTTTTTTTAATAGGAAAATGGTTCTCCTGAAGAACATGCGATCTATGTGTGGGACCATTTTATAGCCAGGTCTGCAGCTGAGAATGTATTTTTTGTTGCTCACAGCTATGGAGGACTTGCTTTTGTTGAACTGGTAAGTGCACATTTAACTCTTTTTAATTCCCAAACTTCTTATAGGTTTATCTCCTTCATTCTATTTTTGTTGGTATCTTTAAATTATTTTATAAAGATTGAAAATCATGTATTTTGAGTAAATAATTTTATGATGTTTAAAAAGAATAAACTTATTTTATTCTGGCAAAGCTTTTAAATGCTAACCCGAAAGCTTTTTGCCTGTTCCTTATTTACATATTACTTTTTTTATTCTACATTATAGCCCCAGTTTCCATACAGTTTATGATACTTATGTTTGCTGTTTTATATGTACACCATTGAAGGATATATTATCTGTTAAGTGTTAAAAATTTCAGGAGATCCTTTTGAATAGTCAGGAATATTTTGATAATCTTTGCCTGACTTTTATCTCTACACCTTAATACTTGGTCAGAATCTGTATAATTAGTATTAAAAATACCAGAAAGCTTCTATTAAACTGTTTCTAAGCAGAACTCATGGCTTGGCTAAAAAATCTTTGCATTTCAAAATAATATGATTCTTGGAGTTAATATAATAGATACATGATAGAAAAAGTTATCAAGATTTCTGAATTTTGTCTGTATTATATGTAATACTGCAAGTACCATACCTTGTGCCAATATGAATGATATGAAATATAATCAGTACTAACAATGCACTGTGAAGAATTTGTGCCTCCATATTCATAACCCCTTAATCACGGGGAGATACCAGTGCTATAATGAAATGATTAATTGGATTAAAATGCATTTGACACTTTTAAATCCAAATAATCTAAAGTGGACATTAAAAGCAGGCACAGCATTGATTGTCTAATTTTTATGTTTCTAAACTTTGCTATGTATTTCTCTTTTCGTGGAAGTTAAATATATTCCGATGGCCTTTTCAGCTTCCCCATACCTTATTGCTTACCCACATAATTTAGATATAAAACTGATGGTGACACCTGAGAATAATTTTGCTGACCTAAATTTACAAATGCTCATGTTCTCTTAAGATCAAAAATAAGTTAAATCGTTAATTTCTTAAATTGATTTCACTCTTTAGAAATGATTTCAAGTACTTCTAACTGCTTAATTTATTATAATATATAATGGATATTTACAGATAGCTAACATACTAGTATGACATACTTTCTAAAATGTGAATGTTGTCTTTTAAATAGTTCTTTTAACCTTACAGATATAGATATATACAGATATATATACACACATACACATATATATAGTTTTTATAAATGTAGCTTATGTTTTTTGCAAGCCATTAAAGTTACTTAAGCATGAAATTTCATTGACACTAGCAGTAATAACTTAAAATATATCTGAAAGCCTATGAAACTAATCTAATTTCAGATTTCTATAAAACAAATTCTTTTTTTTTTTTTTCACTTTAAGACAGTTTTTAAAAATCTGTTGTACATCAAATGTGTAATTTAAGTGAATTTTGGACAATTTTTAAAGTGAACTTAAGATGCCAGAATAACAGATGACCAGTGTGTCAGTCCTATTTTGCCTGTCCTTCTTGTCACACACTGGTGGATATTTCTCCACTTTTGTTCAACTTTAATATAAAGCACACAGATGTTTCAGAACAAGACTTGACTTCTGACCTTGAGGCTATTAGGGTCAGGGTCCTCAGGGCCTGTGAAATTATCACAAGCTGAGCTAAAGTTTTTCTCCATCGCAGGAAGTAACCAGTAAGTAAGAAGTTAAAAAGGAGCTTTGTCAGAGAGACAAGATGGTCTCAGTAAGGGTCAGCTTCTGTAGTCTGCTATCTCTGCAGGAGGTGCATGCATGGGAGGAGGAATATAATATAACCACTGGCACATCACATATCTGTCAGGCAACACCAGGCCTGAGAAGTCTATTTCATGTAACATACCTTGTTTAGGTTTTAAAATATTAATGGCAATCATCTCAACTTCCTATATTTGCTACTTTTTGTGAGGTAACTTTGATGGAGGTATACAGTGGGATGTACAGATGGTTGCAACTAAAGAAAAAGTGGTTCCTGACCTAATAGTATGGATTCCTCTCAACAAATATCATTGTACACTGATGAATTTTACCATAAATTTTGCCACAGCTTGATTAATATATATAAGTCCATTATTTCTACTTAATTTCAAAAGAGTTTTTAAAACATAGCATTGATGAAGAAACAAAAAAAAATTGAAATATTTTTAAACATTTTGGTTTTGCCTAAAGCAGAATTATGTTCTTAACCTAGTCTTCCCAATATTCTTAGGGGAAAATTCATAATGTTTAAAATATTGACAAATATTCTCTCAGGATTTTTCATCATAAGTATAATATATGAAATTGTTTTATTTGGATTCAAAATTTTAATATTAACTTTATAAGAAAGTAAATTGTGAAAATCTTAAATTATGGTTTAGGTTCGTTGTCTCAATAGTACATTATACATATCAGCTGTTAAATCCTTTGGATTTCAGAAAAGTTTAACTTTTTAAAAGTTGTCATAAAATTGTGCTCCTGATTAAAATCTCTATGCACGCACACGCACGTGCACACACACACACACACACACACACACACACACACACACACACACACACAACAGAATAGTCCTAATTTGTAACATTATGTTTGAATGCTTAGAGATTGTTTTTCTACCATTCTCATACAAATGCACATTCTTTTATTTTAGGTCATAAATTTTAAGAAAATTTATTTTAAATGTAAACTGTGTGGATAGTACAGTTTCAATAATACATGCAAATACTTATAGTGCTTTTGTTTGAAAAAATGGGTACCAGTTAAGACATATTCTAAAATGTATCACCATTTCCTAAATTAAAATTGTTTATAATTGTAGTTTAAAATTAAATGTGCTGCTAATAGAGAGACCTGAAAACAAATTACTTTTAGAGCTCAAAATAGTTGTAGAGCTTTTATATTTTACTAGTTGTTTTTGAAAACTGAGAACGTAATTTATGATTTTATTCTACCTGGAAGTATTGAATTTCTCCTGAAGAATACATTATAGTTAAGAGATTTATTTTCAAAACCAATGTTAATTTTATGGTAGTAAATTGTAGAACCTGATCAGATCTAACCTTATAAAAACAGTATCTAGTTTACTACAATAAAGAGAAAAGTAATACTAAAAATATGCCTTTCACTGCTTTTATTTTCATCATATGGTAACAGCTCAAGTTTCCAATTCTCCAAACTCTCTGTGATCCTAGTAAAAATAGACATTGATACAACAGCTCTGTAGCAGTTCCAGCATTCAGTCATTAGAGGCAAAAAGGAAGAACTATTTATTTTATGAATTAATAATCAGCTTTTTAAAGTAATATATCTGCCCTGTGCTATCTTTTCTGTGTATTTAAAATAATGCCAATATAAAAAATAATGTCAGTATATAAAGTTACTCTTATTAAACCATCATTTACAAAGCCTTGCATTTCTGTGTTCTAAATTGTTTTATACAGGGATAGAATTGATAGTCATAATCAAAATGCATTTGCCAAATTCATTTAGGAAGACATCTACAAGTAATGCAGCTTACTTTTGCCTTGTATTGGTTGTTTAAATTTTGACTTCATTTGTTAGAAATTAATTGTCCTTAAAAAACAGTACAGTTTTAAGTTTTTTCACCATCTCTTTCACCAGCCATTTTGATGAGGTGATTCCATTTCTTCCATTGTTGGTCATTTCATAGTGCTTTGGTCTCGTCTTTCTAGGTGATAATTTGACAAAATCAAGCAACCTTAAAATTTTCTTTTATTTGGAAATTAATTAGCTTTTCCTGTCAAGGCCCAGTTTCTAATCTCAACTTACTTTTTCTATTTGCAGTGCTCAATAAATCAGTTTGCATTCAAATTTCTTATCCTTAGTTAAATTGAGGGTCGGTATATTTTATAAAACACATTAAACAATTGTAACAAATATTTCATTAGTTTATTGAAATCACCTCATCTGATATGAAATTAGTATTTTCTAATTAATTTCCTTTTTCATGTTATTAATGGTATACGCACAACCACCATTAAAAACATCACTTAGAAATGTGTGAAAACTGTTCCTTTTGAAAATATATCTCTACCCACTTTTGATTTTGGTTTCTCCATGCTTGTCAGCACTTGATTGGCACCTCACTTGCATGTGAATTAAGGAATGAAGGGGACTCTATTTTCCTGCCATTGTTCCATGCTGGGCTCCCTAGCCTCCAGGCAGCCTAAGCTGACCTTCAGCAGCTGATAGGGGACTATTTTTTGGAGGTAACTCTATGAGGACACTCAACCTCAGTCTACTCTGAGTTGATCTTTTAAAATTGCCTAGAGCAAGATTTGGATTTATATAGAAGAGAAAATGGAATGAGTCTAAAAGAATTAGGAAAGGTAGAATGGGGTGGGGCGGGGAGTGGGGAGCGATAAACCAAATAAAAATTGAGCCATAATAGTATCGAAATAATTCAGGCCAAAAATGCTTCTTACAAACCTCCTTTAAAGTGTAGGTAATTCACCAAAAATAAACTTAACCATTTGTAATATAAATTGAATTTCTGAATTGGCTGCCTACATGATAAAAATTTCTCTCCTGACTAGATTTTTTCATAAAGTATTTCTAGTTAACTCATTTTTTTTATAGTATTAATATGTTTCACGGTTTTAAACTTTAGTACATGCTAATTTGCTTTTTTAATTTATCTTTTATCTCTAAATATTATATTGCCCTTATTCTCCTTACCCTAAATTTGAGAGCAGTATATGTTACAACCTGAGCAGCCTTAAATATCTGCACAGTTAATTGACTGATATATAGAATAAGCATTAACAATAACTTTTTTACTAATTAAATTTATTCATTCTTCCTACCCTCCATTTGAATATTGACTAATCTGCCTAATCAGTTCTTTCACATTACACAGTATTACCCTTTTGGTTAGTCTCGTATAGTCTCCTCTCTGATGATGTCCCCAGCTGTCAAGCTGACTGAGAAGATTGCTTCTCTATCACTCACTCTTCAA